GCAGGCGAACTGAAGGAATTTCCATGGGACATCCTGCCCGATATGCCCGGCCTCGTCCATCTCGACCTTGGAGAGAATTTCTTGCTCGATTTGCCGCCCGTCGAAAGCCCCAGTCTGGAGAGGCTCTACCTTGGGGGCAATGAGATAGCAAGGCTCACAATCGGGTGGTCGACGCCGAACCTGACGGCTCTCGTAGTGGGTGAGTGCCACCGTCTTGGACTCAATGAGTTCGTGGATATATTGCGGTCATCAGCCGGTTTCCACAGACGTAGAGTGAAGGAATTAGTTCGCCCGTGAGTAGGATGACGCGCACATCTCGAAATGCACGTGTCTTGGCTAAGTTATCGCCAAATAGACGATTGCCAGCATAATGGAAAACTTCCTAGGACTCGCAGTTGTTCATTGAGAGACGAATGCATTCTTACCCCCAATCATAGAGTGCGGCCACTTGATATAATTATTAATACTAGCCGTTGAAAGAAATGGAGTAGCTAATTTCCTACGCGCGAAGGAGGCATTATGAAGGTAAGAAAGAGAACATTAATCGATCCCGCCATCTCTATAGTCTCCTTATCATCATGGAACATATTCTTCTTGAAGTTGGAAGATGGATTCTCGATTGACTTAATTCAATCCCCGGCAGATAATAATCCCATCACGGAAGTCGAGCACGGATTCTTCGAGAACTTGAAGAAATTATGGCAATTTTCATGTAACAACTGCAACCTGGGCCCGACTCTGTTCAATGGGACGTTGGAGTTCCACAGTGAAACCTTGCGATATGTGTCTCTTGGAGGTAACAACATTTCAAGCTTGGAATCTCATGCCATCACAGGTAAATTCCTCTACTAAGGAATTGAGAAGTAAGATTACATTTGCAGGTCTTCATTATCCCCTGCAAAGTCCAACAGGGGAGTCCTGCCAGATGGTAGCGAAGCATCTCCTCCATCTTCAATACAGGTTTCACGGCAGAGACCAGAATCGAGTTATGGGGCAACGAAATCAGAAACTTCACTAAGGAGTCCTTCCTACTCATGTTGGAGAACCTCGCAGCTGGGGAAGGGTACATCGACCTGTACGGTGAGTTACATTCATCCGCCTAGCCAAAGCCTCCCACATCCGCCTCCTTCTCTCCTTTCCTCTGCCATCCAACATTTCTCGTCCTCCGCGTATTCCAGGCAATCCCATCGTGTGCAGGTGCAGGATCGGGTGGGTCCTGGATTTCGTTGGAAGCGTTCGGGGTAAATGCGCCGATGGAACTTATTACCAAGATATGGATGTCATAAATTATTTCCAAGATTGTTTCTTTCCAACGCCTGCTCTAAAATATCCACGTCAATTCTGATCAAATAAAAGAAATTCAAGTTGACTCTGAAGGGAGCTTGGGTTTCTTACTTGACAATATATCTGGTATATGATATACATACAATATATATACTACAATATTCGTGTATAATATATATATTACAAATAAATTATATTTAAATTTTTGCTCTACTATTGATCGTTGCTCTCGTCGTGAAAATCAGATGTGGAAGTCTAAGTATAACACGAATATTTTCTGGAAGTCCTTTCCAATGAAAGTGTATGATAAGCTTATGTGATGTGCATGAGAAGTGTATGGGACACCGTTTAACCTCACTCCTTCCTCAAACGATTCCTTTTTTATTTCCAATGTTCATTCAAATGAAGAAGAATAGGAAAAATGCCAAGGCATAGCGTCCGAACCCATACGACCCCAATCTTCACTACTTTTATCTATGCATGAAGTCACTTGAATTTTAGGACATCTAACATCCATTCCCAGAAAATCTCGGCTGGTCAAGCTCCACGTATTATGCAACTCCTCTTCGAGCTCAACAAATCAGGCGTAAGCGCATGGAGACCTTTCAGCGTTGGTCCGCGTTGAGTCAAATAAATTCAGTGTTTAAACTATCCTTGACACGGCAAACTTCCGTGTAAAACAACCGACCCGGCAACCATCGACATCTTCCCCTGACGAGAAAAGGGAGAAGTTACTTTGACCGGCGGTAGGTGGCGCCAGCGACAGCAGTGGGAGAGCAACGTCCTGGCAAGAGTGCAAACAAATTTGATCCGGAGCCTCTGGCTGAATCGGCCACAACCGATTCCATTTTTCGCGGATTCGAGAGAGTTCCTGACGCGTGAGCTGGCAGTTACCACGTGGTAACCGCCGCGATTACCGTGTGCCCCCAGACTGCGCGCCGTCGCCCAGCCCTCCAAATCTGTGAGCATTTTCGACTTAATCGCCCTGCTGCGCTTAATCTACCTTCACTCCGTCCAGCACGGTAGGATTCGCTTGTTTGGGATATTGTGGTCTAGTCGCCGTCGTAAAAATTAAATTTAGGTCCAATTTTATTTTCAGTTTTCTTCCTTCCCAGATGTCCAAAATTCTTTCTTCTCTTAGGGAATGTAAAAATTCATTATTGAAAATACTTACCAGAAAGAACGAAAAGAAGGGAAATCCGCACTCATCTCCCTGAAACAGCGATACCAAGGAAAAACACCTGTGTACATTAGAAATCTATATATACCGTACCTTGATTTATTTCCAAAGCCGCACACCCTAATTTAATTCGCGGGGGGATGGAGTGGGGTGAACAACTGGCTCTCGATCCGACGTAAGATGGAGGTCTTCACGGATGGTTGCACTCTGCATCCTCTGACTTGGCGTGACCCAGGCCACCTGCTGCAGATTCCTCTTCTCGGCAGCTTTTAGCCGGCAGCTGATTCGTTTTGGTCGGTATGAGCAGCTTCCGGCCATTGGTGAAGATTGGGGGGGGGGGGGAATAAACGTATTAATACGAACTCCAAACATATAAAATACATACATATTGTCACGGTAAGAGAACATAAAATATGCGACCCCGCGTGAGATGATTGACCCCTGACCTTCAGTTACAGTCCCCGCTACTAGGTGTCACTAGTGAGCCCCGGTGTTAGCTATTCAGAGTATGCGCTGGTCTCTCTAAAGTTGAGAAAATAAAGTTGTCAATACCGACAGGACTTCTGCAACAACCTAATATATGCGCTGGTCCTGATGTAATAGTTACATAGAGTATTTTTAGAGCTATATGCTAAGAAGTAGGGGAGTACTTCCAACCCGTCCAACCCAACATGCGGAGGAGTCACCAGCAAGAACGAACGGCCGCATCACGGCCGTTCGCAAGCCGGTCCCCGGAAGGACTCCCGGGAGGCTCACTGCGATCCTGAACCCGAAAAGCAGGCTCGACCTAAGCCCTGTGAAGTAAGGTATCTATCATCGAATCAGGCTCGACCGAAGCCTTGAACGAGGCCGACCCGTCGTGACCCGAAAACAGGCTCGACCTAAGCCCTGCCAAGTACGGTCGGAACATTCTGCGACGGCCCGGCTAGACCGCAGCCCGGGAAAGGATAACAGGCATCCTACGTGGGACACAGCCCCTCATCCCTCCTCTCTGCCGCAGTGCGTGTGGAGACCTTAGGGACATCCACGACGGTGGAGTGGGACCCTCCGAGAAGAAGACTCCCAGCAGACGCCGGCCCCCGGACACCAGGACCCCGCAGCGCTTCCGAATCCAGAAGAAGAGCTGGTCTTATTACTGGACGAATAGAGAAAATAATAAAAAAACACCTGTTTGTTGTCACCGTATCTCTTTGTGCCCTTATTTCCACCCGGACCCCACAACGGACTACGACACGGAAAAGTCGTACCGTAACAATATGAACAGATAATAATAAATATATAATATGTATGTATATTTTCACGCGCCTTACGGTCGATTCGAGTACGCGTTCTGGCAGTGAACTCGACCTTAAGGCATGTGCATTCTACCGGTGCAGTCAGGTGCGAGAGTTTCCACGTTTTGCCAGATTGCGTATCCGATGGGTCTATCATGAATCATTTCGGTCAGGCTTCGGCAACCTTGCTAAATGCGTTTTTCTCCCTTTTTCGTTTACCAGGAAAATCAAGGTGCTCAGGAATTTAGGCGTGTTTCCGGAGACACCCGTTGCCAATCAAGAGGAATCTGCGACGGACTCGTCGGCTGATTCGCCCTGCGAATCGCATCTAAACCCTTAATCGCAGGATATATCACCCTAAATAACAGGCGTGTCTTAATAGGATGCAATCAATCTTTATTACATTCTTCGAACAAAAAATAAGCGTGGAGTTTGACGATTCGTTGGGAGCGACTTTTTTGCCACATTTTCCAGCGAAGTTTTCTTCAGTGAATTTGATACTCATAATTTTTCGCGAATTTCGTTAAACCAATAAGCCCCGAATCCCATCAACAAATTCCGAGTAGAAACAGGTGCAAACAAGCAGCGCACGGCCGAATCCGTCCCCGCAGCTGACTCCCCCTCTAAAGACACGACCAGATGTGACCAGGCCGTGACCGCCAGTTAACCATGCAGTGACCGCCCGACCACCATGCCGATCGGACTCTGCAGGGACCTCCAGTCCCCCAAACCCTCGTGGATCCCCCTCCCGATCGCCCTGCTCTGCCTCCTCGCCTTCCTGTCCTCTCACAGTCACCACAGCCCTCCATTGTCATCGAGACAGTGCCTCCCCGTGTTCCCGTACACCCGGTCGAGGATCTGGCTGATCCTCGTGGAACGCAGGTACAAGTCCGAGGCAGAGCTTGGGGTCCAACAGGAACAGTACTCCTCTGAGGTAGGCAGTTTCTCTGTGCTGTTAATGGGACTGCTACATAATTACCTGACGTATTTAATTACTTAACGTTTTCTTCGACAATACGATATTTGTTTCTTTTGTTTTTTTTTTTAGCCCAATTCCTGATGTCAATCGAATTTTAGTTGATTTTTCGTCCAACAACAATTACTATTCATTATTATTTTATTTCATCGACTTACTTTTGAGTCATCGAAAATTCATGCACCCAAGTAATTAACTCAATTAGTTTTTTAATCTTCTCGAGCTATTCCTCTTCTGGACGCCCTGGAGATGGAATTCCAAACATAGAGAGTCTTACGCTCAGTCCATTGTTTATCTGCTGGTATTAAGAGCCGGGGAGGCACACGCCTGGCATAGAGTTATGTCATGGCCTCAATGAGTTATGTCATGGCAACAAAAAAAAATTAAGCAACTAATTTTAAACTACCAGTTTTTCATAACAAGAATTGGAAATTATGAATTTTTAACCGTGTTGGGTGAGCACTTCGAATGGTGTCAGGTGTTACGATTGCAGAATATGAATTTGAAACATAAATAATATTGATATTAATAATAAATATAAATAAAAATATAAGAGGACGGGACAGAGCGAGAGCACACGTCCTGTAGACATGATGTCCGATATGAACTTGAACAAGATTTCATTTCAACACGAATCGCTAAATATATAATAAGCATAATATCCTGAAGTTATTCACAGGATCGTGCAAAAGTTCCCGTATAAGAATTGAGGGGGGGTTGAACATTTCCTCGCAATATGACAACTTGGCGATTCTGCAAAACCTATTTTATTCGCTTCTGAAATGAATTTATTTCTCGAACCTCGCAAAAAACAAAGGAGAATCATTTCACCTCTGTCCAACCACCTCCCCCCCTCCGCCCGCCCCCTCGCCCCCCTCCCCCTTTCATCCCCCGCCCCCCTTCGTCCCCCTCCTCCCATTGGGAAAACGAAGAAGTCGCCTTGAAACTGTGTGCACGGGAACGACTTAATGCACTGAACAACAATGATTCCCGCAAAATTTCCTTGGGAATTTTTTGCGGCAATCGCTAGGATCGGAGTGAGCGAAATTTCGAAATGTATTCATAAATTACCTTTAATCGGGCCTCATCATGGAATTCGCATATTTTTTTACCATTACAGCGAATTCGTTCCACCAGCATTGCCTGTCATGAGTAGTATATTGCATTAGTGAATTAACCAAATATCCCCTTCTACATGGTATGGCATTTAGTCCCAATATATATTTTGTTTTAACCCAGAACATGCTCATTTCTGTGAAAATGTTGTCAGAGTGTAGGGACATAGATTGGAGGCCGGTTCTCTTCGTTTCTGCATATTCACCATTGATTCACTATTGCACAATTATGTCGATTCGCATGGAAGCGAAATGCGACGTTTTCGTAAGCATGCATGCACTTTTAGTGCGGCTTTTTTGCACAGACGCATTTTTGGCATAGACATTACTTCGCTAAAAAAAAATAAAAAGAAATTCACACTGATTTTTTAACATTTAGAATACGAGATGATTGAAAAAAAATGTTGCCTGCCACATTTTCGTAATTCATGCAAAAGAGGGTGGGTTCCCATATTTTCTTAATTTATTGTTGAATTTGCACGGAATATGGAAGTGCGAAAAAATGGGACTCAGTTCCTCCCAGTCGCTGCTATTTTTTTTTCTCACTCTTCCTCATGAATTTCTTCCGCAGGGTTTCCGACGGATTCGCGAATTCCCATGGGGCACCCCCTGCGATATTTCCTCGCTGGATCGTGCGCGATTTTCGCCTTCGGTGCTCTTCTCAACGTCTACCGAGATCGCCCCGCTCGTTCGAGTTCCGTGCGGCCGTTCCTGAACGTTCCGGACGCGTCGATCGGACCGGAGACGGAAATCTTTTGCGGCCGGCGAAGCATCTCGCGCGGGCCGAATCAGAAAGTCCTTTCTTACAGTCTCTTCGGGGTCGAAGGGGCGTCTCGGGCGGCGGGTCCGTACGAGACGCTGGTGTCCGGGATCCTGGATGGTGTCCGGAAATGGTATCCAGGTGTGGCAGGATTTCTTTGATTTTCAGTTCATGGTGTCCTGACGATCCAAAGTATCTCTAAGCGGGGTTTGGAAATTCAAGATTCATCCAGGAGAAATATTAGTTCATTTATTTATATTTACTATGAAGGCTCAAGATACTTTCACAAATATTTCGCGTGCGCCGTTTCCAGAGGCTAAAAAAAAAAATATTATTAAAAAAAAAAAATCTCAGCACCGATTTCCGAGGTTGTATTGTGCTGAAATAGGATGCGGCAAATGATGTTTCATTGAGGAAAGCATAATTAACACCAGCAACTGCACACCGAAATTCGTCTAGAACGGGAAGTTCTAAATTTGTAGCACGTATATTCAATTTCGGGTATGAAAATCAGGGGAAAATGCGCCGAAAATGAACTGCACACCATGTAAAAGTAAGTTACAACATGTGTATTATATGTGAATATACGAGTACTAGGGAAATTATGTAGAACCATCATTAGGAATTTAACGGACAAGCAGGATCTTAATTCAAGGACTCAAATTTTACGCTTCCAAATGCTCGACCATTAAACGTAGTAGCAATATCATTCAATTATAATACCACAATTTCTGCACTAAATTATTCCTGCTTCATTACGACAGGCTGGGTGGTGAGGATATACACGAATTATTCGAGTGAGAACGAAGAAGTCGCTTCCTGGATGAAGTCATTGGAAGAGAAATTCCCCATCGTGGACTTCTGCCACGTGGAGAATCTGCCCGGGATCGTCGGGGACGTCCAGACGCGCCAGAGCAACGGGAGGGTGTGGCGATACTTGCCCATGATGGATCCGCTCGTCGACGCCTTCGCGTCCAGGTGAGACGGCAGTCCGTCTTGGCTCCTGGGAGGGAGGGGGGGGGGGGGGCGTGGCCCGGGGCACGTTCCCCTTTTTTGAGGNGGGGGGGGGGGGGGGGGGGGGGGGCGTGGCACGGAGCACGTTCCCCTTTTTTGATGCTGGAGTATGTCTGAGATGAGAAACTAGAATTTTTTTGCAGTCATATGCATGTAAGAATGTTGGCTTCCCCGGATCCTATGGACAGGAAATATTCGCAACTGCATATAGAAATGAGTTCGTTATAAAGTTCCTAATGTGTAGAGACTCCCAAAGCATGGGGGCACACATTCATTTTTCGTGAATTTCGTGAATGCCTGGGGGTCGTTTGTCCAAACTCCATTTCTTTGCAAAAACATGTCATGCGAGGCATTTGGGGCACCCCTAGACTTGGGTAAGTAGGCCCCCATATTTCAGACCCGGCGTCCATTCCAATGGACATTGCATTTTCATTGTGTCTATGGGAATTTCTTGGGATTTTGTGACTTTGCGCCCCATATCACACTACAATCTCAATTCCATCGGAGACCTTCTTTCACCCGTCGGTGTAGTAATCTTCAACTATTTAATTATATGTATATTATATAATATATGATATGATATGGTAAATTTATACAGAATATAAAAATGATATATAGGACCTAGAAATTTAATGTACAATTTTCACCCGTCGGTGTAGTAATCTTCAACTATTTAATTATATGTATATTATATAATATATGATATGATATGGTAAATTTATACAAAATATAAAAACGATATATAGGACCTAGAAATTTAATGTACAATAGCAAAAGAGCTCAAAAATGCAAAAAAGTATATTAATCAGATCGTAACCTTCAATCAGGTCTGAAAGGGTTAATGCATACATAATACTTTTCATGCGCCTATTTGCTCAATTAAAGAGACAGTGTAACTTTTAACTTTTTCAGGACAGCCTGTATTTAACGTGGCGAAGTTGACAATTGTATCTGTCCAAGGGAGATGAGGGAGATCGTTCATAATTGAAGCTCTTACACGAAATTCAAGTTATAATTTTGTAAAAGTTGGGACCCACTCATCTATGGAACTCCATTGAAGCTTCTATTTTTCGTTCTTCGTTCAGAGATTCGGATTCCCCGGTGTCCTCCGGCGAGGCCGCGGCCGTGAAGGAATGGGTGGAGTCCGAGTACCTCCTCCACGCCATGAAGGACCACCCCGCCCACCACGGTCCCGTCTTCGCGGGTGAGGTGCCTCTTCCTTCGTTGATGCCGAGTCCTCCGGAAAAGGACTCCGGAAAAGGACTCCGGAAAAGGACTCCGGAAAAGGACTCCGGAAAAGGACTCCGGAAAAGGACTCCGGAAAAGGACTCCGGAAAAGGACTCCGGAAAAGGACTCCGGAAAAGGACTCCGGAAAATGGCTCCGGAGGACTTCGTTGAGACAGAAATGTGCAAAAAAGAAGAAAGCGTGAATTTCTAAAACTCGAAGCGCTACTTCGTTTTTTGATGCGAGGAGAATTTCGCATCCTTGGGGAATTTTGTCGTCGTTACATTTTTCTTGAAAATCACTGGAATTTCCCCAAAATATTACGTATGCCTCCATCTAATTTTCTCATGACATTTTTTTTGGGCTGTTCGTCGCGACTGTTCTATCGAGATACATGTGGAGCACAACTATAAAGATAATCTTAGTCGATCAAAACTATGGGCTGTCCAAGCAAAAAAATTGGTTTTCGGGTCAAATGCGACAAGGAAATTCAAATCCCATCCTGAGTGGAAGGCGCCAATACTTCGTTGAATTCGGCAGGCGCAAATGATTGGGATGGGCTTGAATAAAGGTGATAGCCAGTTTGTCCGAGGTTATTAATATACCACATGCATGCACTCTAACAGGTCTTTGGGGCGCGAAGGTGTCGCAGAACCGAAGCTTCGTTCACTATCTGGGAAGAAAAATGGTGTTCGAGAGCAAAACCAGCGACGACGAAGGATTGGATCAGGATCTGCTCCGTGACGTCTTGTGGGACGAAGCCCGGGAACACTTCGTGAGTTCCGTGTGTCTTCCAAGGGTTGTGCCGTCGAAGGCCTGGCGTGGACTCGAAGGCCGTCTCCCGATTCCAGTTGGTGCCCGCCAGCTTCACCTGCGATGAATTCGTCGGAGGGGAGACGAGGCCTTTCCCGACCCGTCGGGACGGGGGCTTCTGGCTCGGCTCGGGGACTAGATACGCTCCGCTCGTGAAGGAGTGCCCGCTTAAATGCAGGCCGAAGGTTCACCCCGACTGGGTCTATTGCTGAGGTGGAGGCAAGGCAATCGTTGAGCCCATTAATCCCATTCAGACCGAATGAGTCGATTTTTCACGAATGAAGCGCCGGTTTTCTTTGAAGGATCACAGACCGCGATTGACAACCAGTCGAGATGCGTGCTCTGCGTCTCATCCCGAGTTCCAGTCACTCCTCGCATGAGTTCCAGTCACTCCTCGCATGAGTTCCAGTCACTCCTCGCATGAGTTCCAGTCACTCCTCGCATGAGTTCCAGTCACTCCTCGCCTCCCTCAAATTCTGCAGGAAAAGGAGAGCCACCCTCGCTGCTAAATGCGATGTCTTCCTCGTTCGAGAAATCCCCTCCCGTCGACTTCGCTTCCCTCCCCATAGGACCCCGGCCAACCACAATCTTCGCCAAGATCTTCACAAAACTCCTGTACGAAATCGAATGCGATTCAATTTCCCGTGCGATCAGGTTACAAAGCAAAGCTGTGAGATCTATTCTGTCGAGGGTTTCCCCAATTTTCCCGCATTCACCCTTTTACCTGCGTATTACCTTTTTCCTGCCGCGGCGCCCTCTCCGTGCCCATCTTCATGCTTTCATCTACCTTTTTTTCTCATTTTGACCCCATTTTCTTGTTTTCGCACTCGTATCCACGACGCGGGAGATCAATTTGCACCAAATACTCAAGTATTAATTTATAAGGGGAGGTTGCGTGATGATAAGGACATCCCATTTCTCATGCAGTGTTTCGATTGGAACGGAGCCGTAATTTGAATAATGGAGGCAATTATGGAAAATCCGGAACGAGACGGAAATTGACTTCCGTGAATCGAAACCCGATTCCGACTATGGATTGGAATATTTCCGGAAAATGAGAGGAAAGGTCTCTTGCTAGCTTCAGTCGGAGGGATCCATTCCGAGGTTTTTTTTTTTTTTTTTTTTTTTTTTTAAAGGAAAAAGGGTTGGTTTTTTGG